CATGTGTTGGGCAATTATGATGTGTAGTCCATGTGTTGGACACTTATCACTTTCAGTCCATGTGTTGGACAGTTTACATATGCAGTCCATGTGTTGGACATCCACTACATCAGTTTAGACCTTGAGAGTTAACACCTATACTTGCATTGGCTGGACACGACACTCATATGAGTTGTGACACGACACCGTAATTTAAGTCTGATATGAGTTTGTCTTCTTCTATTAATGTTTTTATGTATTAGATTTTGGGTTTGATATTTAGGAATGTACAATTTGAGATACAAGGTATATACATGAGGGTTTCCTTGTTTGGATTATTTCGCTCGACGTACCTATGCTCATGTTGTAACTTCCTAAATACTAAAATCCTCTTATACATAGGTATTTACAATGTGAGCTACATGGTATATACATGAGGGTTTCCTTGTTTGGATTATTTCACTCGACGTACTTATGCTCACGTTGTAATTACCTAAATAGGATTTTTTGTGATTATATATATATATATGTTATAACTGTATTTTCTGTATACAACGAGCCCTTTCTCCTTAGGGTTGGTTGTGATGTTGCTCGCTAGCGCTTTGACGCTCGTTGTCCCTCCCCCTTTCAGGTAACGAGCCAGGAGCCCGGAGAGTCATAGGTTGATGGCGAGGTACTCTAGCTTCAGCTATTCTATTATAGTTATATTTTACTTTTGGCTTCACTGTAGGCTTTTGTTAGACATTTTTAGAGTTAGTTCTAGAAGTTGTAAAGGCTCTGTGCCTTATTTCCTTTTTTTCAGACTTTATGTATTTGAGACTTGTTGAGGAGTTCCAGTTTATTTATTTCAGATATTGACTTGTATTTCAGTATGTTAGATGATAAAATATTAATCTGATCTCTATTATTTCATCAGTTGACTCTTGTGTTATCTTTTACTTGCTTTTGTACCTACACCTGTTATTGACTCCACTAGAGAGATAGTAATTGTGATGGTGAAACATGTTATTGCACGGTGTGGTGCATGGCAGGTTTGATATTCTTGGTTTCACCTTGGACTGCAGCCTTGTGTGAACCCAGGGGCGTCACAACATGAATCTCGTCCCCTCTGCCTATTCTCCACTAAACACAAGCTTCTAAGATGCCTCTAGCTCTGTTGGGATTTTTAGATCTCGTAAAAAACCCAAAAATCACCAAACGTAGCAAATAGAATCACACGAGATTTAACGTGAAAACCCTCAATAGGAAAAAACCACGAAATCAAAATCAATCCACTATCACATTCAAATTATAATCTTTTGTACAGATAAAGACTGTCATGAACCCGGTTATACCCTCTAAAATGTTGATTACAAGAATATTGTCTCTTTTCGTCTCTCTACTCTCCTTGGTTTTTCCTCCAACAATAGAAGAATATATATAATGAAACCAAAATCCTATCTCTAGCCTAACTTCCTAATTAGAATAGGATTCAAACTTCAAATCATGATGAGACTCAATCTCCTAATTTTGATAGATCTCTAACACTATCTAATTCTCATAAAGTTATACAAAGAATCAAAGACACAATCCTAACTTGCCCGCCAAGTTAACTTGGTCTCTAAGAAAACTACTAGGATTGGGCATAACCTTCAAACCCACATCCGACTTGGAGTTTAAGTTACTACCCAACAAGCTCCATGAATACTTTATCAAATATAAGAAGGATGTTTTCCAATACCCATCTCCAAGAAAGAGCAATATAGAAAATACCTCAATTTTAGTATTCTAGCTGCCAAAGAGGAAGTTTCTTTAATTATATGATAACCTTGCTTAACAAATTAGTGTAGGCAATCAAAAAATACAAATTATCCGACAAGATAATCTATATACAAGTGCGGAACCTGCCAAGGGTATTTTTGGTCATTTAACATGACCAAGAGAATCAACAAAATTAAATAAGTCTACAAATTGGCTTGAGGTTAGGCAATCCTAAAAATCCCAAGTCAAAAAGGCTGAAATTAAGTCAACAAGATAGATTTGGGCATCAGCATATTCTGGGCGGGAGCTTAATTGTGCAAGAGATCAGCCCCACGTAATCTAACCTCCGCGTGAGCTTAGCCCCCCTGACTCAACCACATTTTGATGTTTGTATGGACGATAGCTCAATGGTAGCGACGTCAGATCATCAAATCTCCATATTAAATGCTCCAGATTTGAAGTGGCACATAGATGTAACCCCCTATAACTTAGAACAGTCCAAAACTACTTGAATTTTGATAAAGGTGCTACAGCGACTACAAAACATTTAATAGGATTTGATAAAAGGTTGTGCCCATGAAGACTGGGGTTAACCTTGCTTGACCAAAGTATGCAAAAGCATTGTGCAACCATCAATACTCATATGATAACTATAACAGTCATAACAAATTTCGGGGGGGGGGGGGGGGGGGCAGGAAATTCTGCGTAGGAAACCCCTGGATGGAGAGCAAACATATACGCTATAAAACCTAACTCCCTTTCACTAGAATTTCAGCTCTCTCTGTCTTACTTAGTTTAGCCCACACTTGCTTGCTGCCTCATTTAGCTATAGGGATAGCCCTGCGCCATGGCCACTGACGATAGATTAGCCTGCCACTGCCATACCAAACTCATGTGATCCAAGCGTATTACTAGGGGTGGCAATTTATGACCCGACCCATTAACCCGACCCGACCCGACCCATTTATAATGGGTACGGGTCAAATTATATGGGTCGGGTCATAAACGGGTCAACCCAAATTTACCCATTTATTAAATGGGTCAATTCGGGTTGGCCTATTGACCCGTATAACAAAAATCCCGACCCGTGTAACAAACTTCGTTCCCTCACTCTCTCTTAAGTGCGCCGCTCTGGAGAAAGAAAAAAAAAAGAAAAGCTGCAGAAGAAAAGAAAAACCCTAGATCCTCACGAAGCTCAAGCGACGAGCGGCCTAGATCCCATCACGAAGCTCGAGCGGTGAGCGGCTAACGGCGAGCGGCGGCAAGCAACAGCGAGCGGCGGCAAACGGCGAGCGACAGTGATCGGCGAGCGGCAGTGATCGGCGAGCGGCAGCGATCCTCGAACCATAGTTCCTCTCTCTCCTCTCGAGCGCTCGAGTTCTCCTCTCTCCATCGAGCAGCCATAGTTCCTCCTCCCTCTAATCACTGGATTTTGAGGTACACTCTTGGCTAGGGCTTTTTGATCTTTCGTTCTATCAATTTTGGGGTTTTTTCATCCTATCCTCTTTCAATTTTGGGGGTTTATTGAAATTACAAATCAATTTTGGGGTTTTTTTTTCATCCTTTTTGCTTGTCTTACTATCTATATTTGTTTCTGATATGAGATGCTTTACTTCAAACATTTTTATTCAGGCGTACTGATGTTGAGCAATAACAGTTTTTGGTAACACCGCGCATGATGAGTATATATTATTAGTCCTGCATAACAGAAGAATAACATGATTTAGTTTAGTTTAATTTAAGATTTTACTTGAACTTGTTAAGTTCATTAATGCCTGAATGAAATTTACGAGAAGGAATATATAATGTTGACCTACTATGCATTGAAAAACATATACTATATTTATATATTTAACTACTGTTGGTGTATGCATGATAGTCCTTTACTTTGAGAATGAAAATCATGTAATCATGAAAAGTTTTCTCATTGCAGAATATCATATAATCATGAAAAGATTTGTTATTCCAGGATATTATATCCATAATCTTGTGATAATAAGTAGGCATCTCACGATCAACTACTGGTGAACCTGTCCATTTGACCAAGTAGGCATCTCACAATCAACTACTGGTGACCTGCAGTTTGTATTTTAGATACTGGTTTGAATATTTTTTAAGTGTTGCTTTGCTGAACTATATGCGGACTTAAGTTTCTTCATACTCAAATGTTAATTCTGTTTAGAATCAGTTAATTTGTGTTATCTGTTGAATTTTATTTAATTTTATTAATCTTATGTAGTTATGTAATTTTCATCACAGTTAATGGAGTCTAATTATATAGCCGATAATGTAGAAGCGGATTCATCTAATGAAGAATTAGAAGACATGTCTAGTCCTGTTCAGAAAAAATCAAAAGCAATAATTGTTGGAAGTCGAAAAAGAAAATTAACGTCCAAAGCTTGGAAAATGTTTGACCTTGTTGAAGAGCCAGGTGGGAAACAATATTCAATATGTAAGATTATGTAAGAAGTGTGGAATCCAATACATCATCGAAGGTAATCATAGGACGAAAAATATGTTAAGACACATGAAAAATTGTAAGAAAGCTACCAGAAAGGATATTGAGGATTTATCTAACTCAAAGATTTCATAATGAGTTCTTCGAGATTTAATTTTGACTCGGATAAGTTCAAGGAGCTCTTAGTCTCGGTCATCATTATACACGATTTGTCATTTCAATTTGTTGAGTATGAAGGTATTCGAGCAATCTTCTCTTATCTTTGTGAGGATATAAAACACATATCAAGAAATACGGTTAAAGCCGATGTTCTTAAAATCTATGGAAGAGAGAAAAATAGGCTAAAAGAAGCTTTTGAGTCGATTCCAGGTAGAATTAACTTGACTTCTGATTTGTGGACATCAATAGCCACTGATGGATATATTTGTCTCACGGCACACTACATTGATCATGAGTGGAAATTACAAAATCGGGTTCTTAACTTTTCTTATATGCCACCTCCTCATTCCGGTGTTGCCATTTGTGAGAAGATCTATAAGTTGTTAGTTGATTGGAAAATTGAAAAGAAGTTGTTTTCTTTCACTCTTGATAATGCCTCCGCAAATGATGTTTTTGTTGATTTATTGAAAAAACAACTTAATTTGAAAGAAGCACTTCTTGGGAAGGGAGAATTTTTTCATATTAGATGTTGTACTCATATCCTCAACTTGATTGTCCAAGATGGTTTAAAAGAAGTATATGTTTTGCACCTTCACTTATATCATGGAAGAATTGTTAATCACAGAGAATATTATCATGATATCATCCTTTTGTATGTTTTTATATTTAGGAATTCGACTCATTTGAAAGTCAAGAAATTATTAGTTCTCAAAAGACCCAATTAGAACTTTATTTGGATGAACCAAGACTTGACCGTGGTGCTCAACTCGACATTCTTTCATTTTGGAAGACTAATGAGCATAGATACCCCGAGCTCTCTTTATTGGCAAGGGACATAATGGCAGTTCCTATCTCTACGGTTGCTTCAGAGAGTACTTTCAGTGTAGGTGGGAGAATCCTTAACCAATACTGTAGCACTCTTAAGCCTAACAATGTGGAGGCTTTAGTTTGCACACGTGATTGGTTATATGGTATCAAAGGTAGACTAATGTTATATTTTTTATGTTTTTTGCATCAGAATACATGTTATGAATTTGCTTAATGGTTTTTTATTGTTTTATTAATGATAGATGACATGCAACCAAAATTAGATGAGCTTTCTGAGGATATCATGCAATTAGATATTGGAGAATCTATGCCAACACAAGTATGAATCTCTCATACTATGATGCGGTAGCTGAAGGTAAGAAAATTTTGTGCAAGTTTTTGTCGAACATATTATATACCCCTATACAATCTATGCCAACATTAGTCTACCTTTGATATCCTGCACATCTGGCTCTCATACATTACAATAGCCTGCACATCTTATTGTAAGTCATTTTTCTTTCTTCTATAGTGGGAAAAAGAATATTCTCCACATTGTTATAAAATCAACATGCTGTTCTCCACATGTTCGACATGTAAGCGGTAGGAAGAAAATGACTAAAATCCCCCCTTCTTCCTAAGAGGTCCAGAGTGCCTTCCTGGCAAGGAGAACTTGGGAAGAGTCCAACCCAGGACAAAATAGTGAAGGGACAAAATAGCTTACATAAATTTTTACCTGAAAGCTTCAGTTGCTAAATAGTGAAGGGACAAAATAGCTAAAGTAATGCTTTTGATCTTATAGTTAAAAATGTTGGATGATACTACTTCCTGGATTCAACTTCTGCACTTCTTCATCCTTTGTTAAGTGTGTGAAATTGTCATGGTCAATATATTTTCTGTGATTTTGGTTGTTTGTCATTCTTGAAGCGTGTGCATATATGTTTTTTTTTCTCCTTTTGTTAAAAGCTGCTCTGGTTATTTGAGTTCCCTTTCTCTCAGGATGTGAAGCCTATAATCTAGGAACTGGAAAGGGAACATCTGTTTTAGAAATGGTGGCAGCATTTGAGAAAGCCTCTGGAAAGGTACATAAAGAAATTTCTACATGATCATCATGTTGTTTGCATAAGAAGACTATTTTGTTTAAATATGATTGCCTTTTATCCTCATTGTAAATTTATAAAATTGGTTCTTTTGGATTTTGGGACTTGCATTTGTGCTTTACGTGTTCTCTTCTTCTGTGTTGGTACTGCAGTTCTTGCAGGTAAAAAATTCATAAGCGAATAATCCTTATGTCATATGATACTATTCCACTTACTACATGTTTCTTTTTTTGCTTCTATGAACTTGCAGTTTGTCTTCGCATCCAAGTTAACAAAGTTACAAAGACAACAAGGAATTCAAGGTAATTTTGTACAAAATCATCTTATCCAGAAAGCATCATATTGCCTGTATTTGCTTGTGTTACAGTATATTGCCTGTGAGCTGCACTTCCTTTTATTAACAAATCCACCCTCTCGTTGCAGGACTTGCCACCGGAGCGAGCTTTTGCTGATTTTGTCCTCTGCAATCTGATTCTCCACCTTGTGATCATGAACTTATTTGAATAGAACTGTATTAATATAAGTTGGAAACTGCAGCAATATGTATTAGGTCTTATCAGTTTTTGGACATGTCCATTTATGGTACTCGCATAATTGTTTACCTGGTTGAAGATTGTACTCTTGCCTCACAATTCTCAGGATTTTGACTAATCTTTAGTCATTTTCATGGGTGCAATTGGTTCAGGAACGGGTATTTTGCTTGCTGTGACAGAGTATTTTGAAACATTTGAGAAGGAGAGAGCTACTGATCTTGGTTTCTTTGGTCTGTGATATGTTTGCTGTTGTAGTTGTTGTTGCTGCTGCTGTTGAAATTTAGATTTTTTTTGTCTAAAGAGCTGCATTGATTGTATTTTTGTTTGCCGATAGTTGCAATTCGTTGAAATACATTTAAATACTGGACATGTCTTTGAAATAACTCCATGTTGTGAGTATTGATAGTTTTTGTCTAAAGAGCTTGCAAGTAGTGTTCTTTTGTGCTTGTATAAAAAAATTTATTAGTTATGTGTTAGGATATGTCTTGTATTAGATAAACGGGTTATTCGGGTTATATGGGTCGGGTCGGGTAACCCGTTTATTAAACGGGTCGGATCACATTGACCCATTTATTAAACGGGTCGGGTCGGGTCACACTTATACGGGTCGGGTCAAATTTTATATGGGTCGGGTCGGGTCGGGTCGACCCATTTGCCACCCCTACGTATTACGCCCTATAGCACTTGATCTTCATTTTTGTATTGTCATTCTCTCCCCTTGCCTCAAAAAGCTCAGCTCTTTAGCTTGTCAACGAGGCAATCCTTCTCCGAAGAGTTGAGTTCCACATAAAAGGAGCTCCCTTCAACTCCAAACTCCACAAGAAAGAAGAACTTCAATAACAATGACGTCCTCATGGTCAATGGAAATAATAATCTAGTCTCTTCCGACATATAGTTTTCGATAAGCAAAACTTACAATTTTAGTTTTTGAGTAAAGAAGCGAGCAATTGTAATCGTTATATAGACCAGTAGAGCACAATTAAAAACCTCCATAATTCTTAACCATACGCCGCCTTCTCTATTGGGTTGACGCATTTTATCCCAGCTTAACCTATACTGAAGCTTTCAAGTTTTTATCCTAGCTTAACCTATACTGAAGTTGTCGAGTTTCCTCCTCATGCGCTCAAAAAAGGCAAGACATCATTGAGTTTAAAGAGGCATAGAGAGAGATGCCTAGATCCGAAACACACTCATACGATAGGTTGTAATGTTGAATTTTTTTAATTCCTATATTTATTTTTCCTTTTAAAAATTAAATTCCTAACAAAATTAAACTAGCAAAATTTTGTGTTATCAAGACATTTTTGTGTTATCTAATTAAAACTGGTAAATTAAGCTAGCAAAATTTTGTACTTGGCATAGCTTATTCTCAAACTTGACTATCATATTCGAAGTGGATACCTTAAGGAGTCTAGTCAATTGAAACATTTTAATGACAACTCAAATAATTGTTGAAGTATGACTATTGTTTGAAGAAATGATAAATAGGAAAATTTTTGTGAAGTGTGATATCTTTATAAAATAACATAAAATAATTAGTGATAATGAACAAATATATAAATTGTGCACTTTGTTGATATAACTATTATTTATATATTTTTAAACTTCTTATTATTGATTAATAATTGTTTACTAGAATATTAATCACTATTGAATTGAATAACTTTTTGTTAAACTACAAGATATTATTAATGATTATTATAATAATATTTTGTAACTATTTTTATTTTTTGAATTATTATTATAATATAAGTCTAAAAAATTAAAGCTTTTCACATGCCCTTATCTTTTTTTGTTCCCCAAGATCTCTTTCTTTCGTTTCTCAATTTCAGTTATTTTTAATAAAGTGTGGATCCATGATCTTTTTTTTCACTTTCAATTAGTTATAGAGTTATAATATTTTGTTAAAAAAAGAAAATATCATATAAGCAGATGAGTAAGAGAAGAAGCAATTCAATCTGATGGTGTCGTCTAATGATGGTGATGGCTATTGGAGGAAGAGAAGATAGGAAAAGAAAAAGAAATATTAAAAATAAAAAATAATAAAAGAAATAAGAGGGTTCTAGTTTTTTACCACAAAGTTTCAAGCTAAAATTGGGGATAACTTTAAAAACAAGAACTAAATTTTTATAGAGAAATGAAAAAGGGATAATTTTTTCCAAAAATCCCGACTCTATTTTTGTTACTGTTCCAATTGACTGATGTTGTAAATTTTTTTTCATAGTTCTAATTAACTAACATCACAAAATTTTATCTCATAAATTATCTCAGTTTTAGTTTTGAGTTCTACTTTGCTAACGTCTCTTTAGGGTTTAGATGATGTGGTATGTAATTGACACATGTCATCAATTAATTGGGTAAATATATAAGTGGTGGATATGATCAGTGAACTAAGGGGCTGTTTGGTTCAATTTCTATAAAAAAAAGGAAAAAGAAATGTGCTCAAATTTTGATTTTCTTGTATTTCTATAAAATTTGTAGGAAAATTTTATAGAACTCAAAGAGTACTATATTTCCCATTTTTCCTATTTCTTTGTTTAGTCCAAAGTATGAAAAAGTACCTAACTTTATAGAAAATATCTAGTTTTCTTTTCCTTTTGTTTGGTTAGATATCACTTTATAGAAAATAGATCACTAACAATACCCATGGGAAATCACATGGGGAATGATACTGATGTACTTAATTATTTTTTTAATATATGTGTCAAATTTCTAGGCAATTTCCTCTGATTTGGAGAGGAAGTTGATTTTCATAAAATACTCCAATTTTCCCTACTTTATATAAAATATCTCTATAATTTTTTTAAACCAAACATAATTTATGGAAATCTACAGAAATTTATTATTTATAAAAATGTCATTGTCAAGTGTTTTCTCAAAACTTTTCTATAAAATTGGTGAACCAACCACTAAGAGAATAACAATCTATGTGGAGGTCAAAGATGACCACTATCTGCAACTTCTCATTAGCTTAAAAATAGAATATTTGTAAAGAAATTAATCAAATGGTATAAATCAATGGTGCACTAAAAATTTCTTATCTTTAAATTAATGCCATATGCAGAACCTTACAAATTAGTTTTTATAATCCTAGATTTATTATTTATATATAATAATGTATCATTAAACAATCAACAAAGAGCATTAGACACTTTTATAATTAATTATGAGATTCAAATATTTCTTTTTGTAACTTTTCTCTCACATAAACTTCAAAGATTTCTCTCGAATTAACCTACAAATTTTGTCTCCCACATCATCAACCGTCTAAACTTCCCAACTGACCAAAAACAAACCCACCGTTGATATCATTATCATAACCAAGCTACAATAAATTCTCAAAATTTAAATTTTGTACCCCAATTTTTTCTCGTAATCCCTTAATTATCTCCGCGTTTAGCTCCATCTTTTAATTTGCATTCCAAGTCTTGTCATGATCACCCACGCCTCTCCTCCCATTAAAATTCTCCTCACGCCAAACTTCTCTCTCCTTATTCTATTATCTTCTGTTCTCTCGCTGGGTCCCACGAACCGTTAAGAAGTTCGGAGCTTTCGGTTTTGTTTGGGTTTTTATCACACTGGACCTTAACAAATTTTGTTTTACTAAATTACACTACCAAATCTCATAAAGGTCTGTTATTCGTTTGGGATTTTTTCTTAGGACTAGAACAATTCTCAAAAATTCTATACTCTATGATTTGGATTTGGACTAGAATTTTCTTACTAGAGCCCTGAATTTTTTATGGGGTTTTTAAAATTTTGGGTTAGATTTCGAACTAAAGATAGGTCGGAGTAAAGTTTAGATTCATAGACTATTTGAATTAGGACTATGGCATTAGATTATTATGTTAAATAATAACTATCAACAAATACAACTATTATTTAATTAATATTTTTTTTATAAATTACAAAACAAACATTAAATTATTATTACTATATCTGTATATTTAAATATTTAAATAGTAAATATACTATAAAATAATATATCAAACATTAAATATAAAATATTTAGATGAGTGGTATTTAATATTTTATTATGAATATACAGAAATTTTAAATTTTAAATATAGTTAATATTTACTTATTTATATTTCATACATATTAGTTTTTAATATTGAATATTATATATTCATAATTTGTAATATTAAAAATATTATTTTTATAATTTTTAAGACATGCCAAAAATAAATATTTTTAATATTAAAAATTAATCATATTCAATGTTAATTAAATATGCTAAATAATTTAGTCATATGAAAAAAAAAATTTAATTTGAATATATTTAAAATTTAACATATATATGTTAAATATTTATTGTGTTAGATTTTGGATTATAAATATGGGTAGAAAATTAAAATTATAGATGTTAAATAAGGGGCTGTTTGGTTGCACATTTTTTGAGAAAACTTTTCTCAAAATATCTAACAATGGTAAATTTGTAATTAAAAGTTTTCCAGAGATTTCTGTAAATTGTGTTTGGTTCAACAAAAAATTTACAGAAATATTTTCTATAAAATATCAAAACCTACCAAATTTTACAAAAAGCAATTTTCTCTCAAAATGAGAGGAAATCACCAGAAATCTGACACATACCATATTTAATTAAAACCCTACCAAATCTTGTTCTTTTCTATAAAGTTATGAGCTATTTTCTTGGTTTGAACCAAACAACCAAAGTACAAAAAATAAGAAAATTGGTACTTTTTGATTTCTCAAAACTTTTCCTATAATTTTTTTAAGAAATACAAGAAAATCATATTTTAGGTGGAAAACATTCCCTATAATTTCTAGAAATTGAACCAAACACCCCCTAAGTGAAAAGGATGACAGATAAAGAATGGAAAGTGTTTAAAATGTGAAATCATTAAAGACGAAGCGAAGAGATAAAATCATAGGAGTGATATCACAATCCACCGATTTTTAATTGGCCTTTTTCTAGAATGTATAAGGCAAATTAGAATTTGGATTTTAAAACTCAATTTCTATTTAACTAATAACACCTTGGAATTTTAAGTCTGAATACTACTCCTAAACCCAACAATGTCATAAATTTAAATCCAAATCTTAATGGAAATCCAAGAGTAAATCCTAGTCTAAATAGGAAATTTGAGGGTATAAATATACTACATGAGAAGGTCCGGTGATCTAATAAGCCAAAAATCTTTTTGTTATTTGTATTTAGCAAACACTCCTCTCGCTGACAATTTGAAGAGAGATTTTCCTGCACCTTCACTTCTTCTTTTATTAGTCAGCGGAAGAAGAAGATATCAGTGATCCGAAATTCCCCAATCAGAGAGCTCTCTCTAAAAGTAAAGAAAGATTCCATCTTTTTCACTGTTCCCTGTTTCCTCTCTCTCTGAATTGAGTTCACTCTCTGCTTTTGTTCATAAAAAGCTCCAACTTTATAGCTTAAACCCCTCTGGATAACAAAACCCGTATCGCAAAATCTCATCTTTCCCAAGATGTTGCCTAGGTTTTTACCGCTTGAAGATGGAAAAGACTCATTCCTGAGAACCCAATCTAAGCCTTTACCGATCAGAACAATCAAGATTTTTCTCCTTTTCTTGACTCTGGCTTTTGGAGTTTTGGTTCTTAGCATGTACGCTACTCGTTATTTTGATGTTAGAAGCGCAATCTTGCAACCTAAAGTGAGTATTGTTCATCCTTGCGCTGAAGAGGAGAATGAGCTCAAACAATGGATTAAAGCTCCTCTGAGTTTGATGCATAATATGAGTGATGAAGAGCTCTTTTGGAGAGCTTCACTTGTTCCCCTATTGGAGAAGTATCCGTACAAGAGAGTTCCTAAGGTTGCGTTTATGTTCTTGACGAGAGGGCCTTTGCCATTGTCGCCGCTGTGGGAGAAGTTCTTCCAAGGCCATGAAGAGCATTATTCGATCTATGTGCATTCCTTACCTGGTTATAGGCCAGAGTTTGCATCGGATTCGGTGTTTTATCAGAGGCAGATTCCAAGCCAGGTATTGCTACAGATTATGTTGGCACAAAAAAAAAAAAAAATCAGTAATTTACTTGATGTATTGATACAAAATTATTATCAAACAATTTAAGTACCATTCCCTCATCACGTAACATGAGCACATACACGACCTTACTCGAAGAATGCAATTCTGCTGATTTTAGTTTGATTTGACGTGTTATGTATAAAAATTGGATACTAAGGTAGCTTAGGTAGATTTCCATTCTCTATGGTATTTAGGGAGAATTTCCTTAAACATCAGACTTTTACATCACATCTACGTCATACGTATTCTTTTGTGGATTGCAGATATCATTGTTAATTTGATTGTACCTTTGTTTTAGTTCCTTTGAATTTCGATGAGTTTTATTGTGGTAGATAGACCCCCTGAGTGAAAATGCATTGTTGCAGACAGAGACCCCCTGAAAAGGGCCACAAAAGTTCACTCAGGATGTCTATCCGCAACAATAGAACTACAGAGGTAGTAGGTTTAATTTGGTTATAGTACAAGTTGTCTATCCGCGATTAACCCTATCTATCTTTATGTTGGTGCTTTATTTACATTCACAAAGCAAAAAGTGTCAAGTTAAAACCGATATGATTTCTAAAACTCGAACTAGCATTTTACTGCAACCTGAGATGTTCGAATAAGGCTCTTCTTGTTTTCCCCTATTCCCCCTCTTCTTTATTTGCATTCACAAAGTAAATTAATTTAACAAATTAATTGAAGATTTCTTGCTCTTTTGGTGGACTTATATCACGAGCTTACAATTTGTAGATTATCATCATGATACGAGTCATTTGTCCCTTGCTTTTGGAATATTTTTAGATTTTGTTAGTCAGGATGAAAGATTTATGTCATTGCGAAATTTGAAGCGCTGATATTTTTCAAGGTTGTTGCACGGTCATAAAAGAGGATCTACTTGTTTGCAACACAATCAGTTTCTTCAGACATTTATCAGATTAAGATTACCAGATTCATAGTGTGGGTATGAGGACTGGATATGTTTCCTTAAAAACTACAAATCGCCATTGAAAAAGTGAAGAAAATTAAGATCAGGAAATTAATAAATTGGAAATCAATGTGGGAGTTGTTAGAGAGACTATTAGATCGAGAGCCTCTTAAGAGAGAAACAGGTAGCTGTTCTAATAACAGATTTGTACTCTAGCCAAATTAGGAACTTGCATGATTTGGATTAGTCAGTATAAGTCTTTTATCAGCTGTTGTGACTGCTCTTTGGAATGGTCATTGAGCTTATGTATCAGTTCCATAGGATATCTGGCTGAGAAGAAAAAAATCAGATTTTGACTGGTGCGATGTCGTAAAAGTTTCCTCATATAGGATTTTTTTTTAATCTTGTTAAATTTTGTTTGCAAAGACAAAATCACGATGAATTGGATGAATAGCAGTAAAATGGTTAAATGTGAAAGAATATTTTAAAGAAAGACTATTTGCAGAGAGTTAAGTAAATAGGGTAAATTGCAGATAATTAACTCCCCTCAACCATACATTGGGTAGCACTTAATATCCCTTGACTGGTTTATTACCGCCTAATCACCTATCATCACTGGATTCCAGAGGGACGGGGGGCTTATACACAATTTATTCTTTTCAAAATGCCAAAACTCAAAGAGTGATGAGAGCTAATATATGGGTTGTAGGTAATGGCAGTTATTATCAGCTTTTCTTTCTTTCAACAATCTAAACAACTCACAGCTTTTACATCCACAGGTGGCAGAATGGGGAAAGATTAACATGATCGACGCTGAAAGAAGACTCCTCGCAAATGCACTCCTCGATCTCTCCAACGAACGATTCGTTCTCCTCTCAGAATCCTGCATCCCTCTCAAAAACTTCACAATCATCTACAGTTACCTCACAAAATCCAACCACAGCTTCGTGAACTCTTTCGACGACCCAAGCTCTCTTGGTAGAGGCCGCTACAATCCCAAAATGGCTCCAGAAATCACAGTATCTCAGTGGAGAAAAGGAGCTCAGTGGTTCGAAGTTGACAGAAAACTCGCAGCCAGATTAGTAGCAGATACGAAATACTATCCCAAGTTCAAGGATTTCTGCAAGCCTGCTTGTTACGTGGATGAGCATTATTTTCCTACTATGTTAGCTATTGAGACGCCGAGGCTTATTTCAAATAGGACTGTGACCTGGGTTGATTGGTCGAGAGGTGGAGCTCATCCTGCAACTTTTGGGAGAGGAGATGTTAATGAAGAGTTTTTGAAGAGGATTATTGAAGGCCAGAGTTGTTTGTATAATGGGCAGCCCTCATCAGTTTGTTTTCTGTTTGCTAGGAAGTTTGCTCCTAGTGCTTTGGAGCCGCTACTGAACTTTACAAGCAATTTGCTTGGATTTTAGATGAATAGATTAAGATACCGTGATATGATATGATATGATGAGAGTGAACCTGGAAGTTTTTAGAAAATTACAGAGGTACAGGTGACCTTTTTCTTTTGGTCTTGTGTACAGAACAATTATCCGAATATATATTAGACTATACATGATTATTGAGGGTTTCAAATACAAATTTACCCTGCCTTTCACAAATTTGGTGGTTGAATATTAAGCTTTGTCGTATTCTTTTCTGTCATAGAATTGCCACTATGAAACGCCATCAAAGAGACTTCTGCGGCTCTGCTTGGAAGAACTTCCAGAGTATGAGGAGCTCGGGTATAAGTCAAATTTAAGAAAGTGGTTCATGAGAATGAACTCTTTCTTAAGCATGCCTCAAGTCTATCAGTAGAATAAACTGGTGCACCAAGTGACTCACAAATTCGAGCAATAAGAAATTGGTAAATCAGCTGGACCTTCTGCATATACTGCTAGCTAAGATACTCTCTGACGTTGGTCGCAGTATACACTATCATTCTAAAGATCAAATCAGCCACATTGAAATGTAGCGATCCAATAAAGTAGAACAAGGTCTTGGGTGGTGATCACTGAGTATGAGGAGCTTGGGTATAAGTCAAATTTAAGAAAGAGGTTCATGAGAATGAACTCTTTCTTAAACATGCCTGAGTGTAGGACCCCAACCATAGGTACCAACAGAAATAGATACTCCATCATCTAGTTGTATGCATCAGAGGTCTTATCCCTTACTCAGCAGAAACTCGAAAGAAATATGAACAAACTCTAGGTGGTCTGGGGAGTCCCAGACTCTTCTCAATGAGCCTAGGTGTGACTGTGATCGATATCCCGCTAATAATGACCGAAGATAAGTCCTCTCTTGATCTATCCTAACTGGTGTAAAACTCTCATACAAGTGTAGAGTTAGCCAATTTGGGTTTTTGAGTCATTATAGAATTGATCCCGGCTAAATTCAAATACTTTATCAATGTTGAATCCTCTCTCACGGTAGATTGTCAAAAGATAGGAAGGATTCTACAGCTCGCTGATGTTTTTCAGAGGCCATTATCTTGAATTACAAGAAAATATGGTACTTTAGGCAATTTGGGTGCAACCTTACAAGAAATTCTAAGTTTCAGGGTATAAAATGCAAAAACAAATAAATAAATAAAGTTTCAGGCCACCAATCGGTTGGTCAACTAATTGGCCAACCAATTGGTTCGTCGTTTAGGTGAATTGATCTGCCAATTTTTCACAAAAATCTTGTACAAATTTGTTACAAAAATTGTCCCAAACTATTATTAACATCATTCCTAGCCAATTCGTACCACAATTTACACCAATAATCAAGAAAATTTGCAAAAAATTGGAGAGCTAGGGTTTTGGTTTTATACCTCAAATTCAGTTGATTTGAGTGCAAGATTTTTGCAATTTGTTGTTGAATTTGACCCTGGTCGTCATCTCTTATGATTCATCAAGAAATTTTGGGGAGTTTAGGTGAATTTTTTTAGGAATTTTGTGAGTACGCAATTTTTATGGTAAAAACAAACACCTCACATAACTGAATCTGGATTCACTGCAGTGAATTCAATTATTTAGGACAGCAACTAAAACAAACCCCACAACTAAAATTCTGAACTTTAACCAATTTTAACAAAAAAACTAACAGGATTGCAATTTCTAAAATATTTTAATAGAAACCCTAAAAAAGATTGCAAATTTTGAAAGATAATCCAACAAAACAAACAACCAAGATCGAGTATAAGAGAAACCCCAAGCTAAAACAAATCCTAGAACCAAGATCGCAACTTCAACAATTACCCTAAAAAGAAACCAAAATCAAATTGAAATTAAAGAAAAACGTGACACTCATGCGTTTATTGAAGTAAAAACAAGCTGGATTCACAGCAGTGAATCGAGATTCACTGCAGTGAATCGCCAATTTTTGTTGTCCTAAATAATTGAATTCACTGCAGTGAATCCAGATTCAGTGAATCGAGATTCACTGTAGTGAATCGCCGATTTTTGCTGTCCTAAATAACGAGATTCACTGAAGTGAATCGAGATTCACTGCAGTGAATCGAGATTCACTCATGCATTTATAGAACGTGTTTGATGATTTTAAGCAAAAAGTTACAATTTTTATGGTAAAAACAAACACCTCACATAACTGAATCTGGATTCACTACAGTGAATTCAATTATTTAGGACAGCAAAAATCGGCGATTCACTGCAGTGAATCTCGATTCACTCCAGTGAATTCAATTATTTAGGACAGCAACTAAAACAAACCCCACAACTAAAATTCTGAACTTTAACCAATTTTAACAAAAAAACTAACATGATTGCAATTTCTAAAATATTTTAATAGAAACCCTAAAAAAGATTGCAAATTTTGAAAGATAATCCAACAAAACAAACAACCAAGATCGAGTATAAGAGAAACCCCAAGCTAAAACAAATCCTAGAACCAAGATCGCAACTTCAACAATTACCCTAAAAAGAAACCAAAATCAAATTGAAATTAAAGAAAAACGTGACGAACCGAGGGGGTGCTCGAGCTTGAAGGAACTCTTGGCCATGGATCCCCTCTTTCTATCATCCCCAATACATGACGAGAACAAAACCATGATCAGATCAAAAGAAAATAACACCTACCAAGAATCAAATCAAACTTAGAATATAACCTACCAAGAAAATATAACACCTACCAAGAAAATAACACCTACCAAGAGAGAGGGGGCTGGTTCAAGCTTTTGGGAAATGGAGGAGAGAGAGAGAGGAGAACGTGAGAGGAGAGTTGCATGGGAAAATGGAGAACTCAATAAGAAGCATTAATTACCTCTCTTTAGTGGGCTGTTTATTTTACCTAATTACCCTTATGCAGCTTTAATCTCAGCCATTGGATGAATCTAGATCCAATGGAGAGGATTGGTTTTTAGTTTTTAGGATAGTGAGGTTTGTATTTGAACCTCTCCCTATATATATAAGAGTATAAATATGTACATATATAAGTATATTTATATAATAGTATAAATACATATAAGAGTATAAATATATATAGCCCCTTTTAAAAATGGCTCTTATTTATTCACATGGGTTCAAAAAAAATGAGGACTTTTTTATTTATTTGTTTCTTTTTTACAAGTAGTGTGGTTTATGAAGAACCAACAGCTCTTCTTCAAGTGTAGAAAATTTTAAAAATAGTTTTAACGTTGAACATTAACTTTAAAAATATTATCATTTTTAGGATTTTCTATCTCATAGCTCATGCGAGAAAACTTATTGAACAATATATGGATCTGTCCATCATGATCTCAAATTTTTTACAAAAAAATGTAGTTTTGAGTTATAAAGTAAAACTTTTTGTCCTAGTGTAAAACTCTTTCGTAATATTGAATTATCATGAAAAATCTTGGTTTTGTCTTTGTAAATTTTTGATTTTATATATGCATCATTTTGATTTTCTTCCAACCCATTCTATTGGAGTCTAGATCAAGATTCAATTATTATCATTCTACAGCTCGTTGGTGTTTTTTAAATGGCTCTTTTAAAAGCCTGACAACTACCTTATTATCATTGGTCTTGCAAGCTACTGCTTCAGCCTATTTAAACAGATACTGTAAGGCTACTAGAATGTAGTTATTTCTAAAAGAATTTGGAAATGATCCAACGAAATCTATACCCCACAGATTGAAAAGCTCAAGGACTAGAATGAGTTGTAAGGGCATCATATTTCTTCTAGTGATTCTTCCTAAGAGCTGACAACGGTTACAGGCTATGTAAAATTTATAGGAATCTTTGAACAGAGTGGGCCAATATAGCCCACACTGAAGAATTTTTTCGACTACTTTTTCTTGGGCTAAAGTGGCCCCAACATGCTTGCTCATGACAAAAAGATAGAACACTCCTCATTTTTTCACTCAGAATACACCTTCTAAAGATCTGATCAGGATAATACTTAAATAGATATGGATCATTTTAGTAAAAATATTTTACATGTGAGAGGAAACATGATCTATCCTATTTAGACTAATAAGAAGAGATCTATTTCGTGACTAAGTAATTTACAATATCTACAAATCACTGAACAAATTGGAGTTATAGGAATTGTTCATCCAAAAAATATTCATTGATTAGGATATTTGGTGATAGTGCATTCGGAAGTCTAGATAAATGATCCGCTACGGGGGTCATCTGCTCTTTCTATCAAGAATTTGGATGTCAAACTCTATATACCATTTCAACTAATGAGAAGAGATTTGTTTTGCAACTAAGAAATTTATAATATCTGTAAACCACGAAACAGATTAGATTTGTAGGAGTTGTTCATCAGAAAAATATTCATTGATCAGGATATTTGGTCATAGTGCATTTGGAAGTCTAGATAAATGATTTGCTACAAGTCATCTGCTCTTTCTATCAAGAATTTAGATGTCAAACTCTTAAAGTAGGAGGATCCATCAATGAGCCATGCTTTAGCATCTTTTTTGGTTAAAAGATATTTAATTGTGGCCTGATCAGTAAAAACTTTAGTCAAAGACCCGATGAGATAGGACTTAAATTTTTCTAAGTCAAAGACAATAAATAAAAACTATTTCTCAGTGATAGAGTAGTTTTACTAGGCATTATTTAGTGTCCTACTGGCATAGTAGATCACATGAGGTTTTCCATCAATCCATTGTCCTAATACAACATCAACTATAAAATCAGATGCATCACACATTATCTTGAAGGGTAAGGTCCAATCTGGTGCATGAACGATAGGGGCGCATTAGCTCCTTTTTTAGACAATCAAAGGCCTTAAGGCATTCGGGAGAGAAGTCAAATGGCGTATTCTTGGCTAATAGATTGGTCAAAAGTCAAACAATTTTGCTAAAGTCTTTGATGAACCATCTAAAAATACTAGCATGACCAAAGAATGATCTGATATCCTTAAAATTTTTGGGAGGAAGGTTAGAAATGAGACTTACCTTAGTTTTGTCAACTTCAATACCCCTGTTAGAAACTACATGCCTAAGATAATGTCTTGTTAGACTATAAAGTGATATTTCTCCTAATTAAGAGTCAAAATTTTCTTCCTACACCATGACAGGACCAATTTAAGATGATGCAAACACTAAGAGAATGTGTTACCAAAAATGAAAAAGT